GTTAAGATAGGAGGAGGACTTGCTGCCTTGTTAAGACAGGGAAGGACCTGCTGCCTTGTTAAGACAGGAAGACGAATAATTTGCTTTTCCGTCCATAATTCCGAGGAGACAGGACAACAATCTGTCTCAACAAGAGTGGATATCATCAATAGTTCCCGTTCACGTCTCGAATGATAAAAGTTTAAGACCAACCACTGAGCCAGAAAGAGACATGAAGAAGAGTCTTCTTCACGTGTTATTGAGCTAATGACGCCGTGTCTGGCCTACTTGGTTGGCTCTCCATTCGTCTATTCGGCTGGCTGCTGAGTACCAGACTAAGGCAAAACATGATCGACTAACATTTAATCAACAGAGGGGTCAAAGTTATCACCCACCGATGAACCGCAAGACGCAGACGGAAATTATAGAAAGTGGAGAGACGGGAAAGGCAGTACGTAGCGTCACCTCGACAACTTAGATGCTACCTCCTGTTCCTCCTCCCTGCTATACCATCGACTTGTGCCGAGTTGTAATGGGTTCTCCTGACTGTGGTAGCTGGCGAAGAGGGGGTGAGACCCGTGGCGTTAATACTGATGATGGCAGCATTGGTGGTAATAGCAGCATTGGTCTCTAAGACATATATATATATATATATATATATATATATATATATATATTGGTGTATACTGGCAGCAGGTTTTCTTTCAAACATGTTTCAATGAATATGACCGCATATTCTGTATTTATTATTTTCTGGTTTAGGGCTTCTATCCCTCTAACTATTTTCTTAGCATGGCTTAATTGAAATAGGAGTTCTAAGAACTCCTATTTCATTGAAATAGAACTGCTATTTCAATTAAGCCCTGATGCTAAGAAAATAGTTAGAGGGATAGAAGCCCTAAACCAGAAAATAATAAATACAAAATATGCGGTCATATTCAATGAAATATATATATATATATATATATATATATATATATATATATATATATATATATATATATATATATATATATATATATAATGTTGCTCGGATGATGGAGTGATGGAGGCCATATCTTCACTACACACTCTCCTCGTCACTGTCACCATCTTCACTACACATTCATCACTATATCTACGCTACAAACGACCATCAACACTTCATCTTCCCTTCTCCCCCCCCCCCTCAACCTTCACACCCTACCATCCCGGGCAAATGGAAATTGAAGACAGCAGGGCAAATGTCGCCTGCGTAGCGAGACCACTGGAGCGGAGAGCCATTATGAGTTCCAATAACCAATAATTGGCGGGGTGAACGAGACGATGGTTGACCTGTGTTGCAAGGAGAGCACTCTCGTCTGATCACCTGGTTGGCTCGCCGTCTGTGTCGCACTGCTCTCTGACAGTCACCAGTCCTGCTCGTCACTACCTTCTTGGTCAGGCCTGTCACTGAGGACCACACACATACACACACACACACACACACACACACACACACACACACACACACACACACACACACACACACACACAAAATACATTAGGCAGTTGCATAACAGATGGAATGCATTAGGCAGTGATGTGGTGGAGGCAGACTCCATACACAGTTTCAAATGTATATTTGATAGAGCCCAATAGGCTCCAGAATCTGTACACCAGTTGACTGACAGTTGAGAGGGGAGATCAAAGAGCCAAAGCTCAACCCCCGCAAGCACAACTAGATGAGTACAGAGAGCGTGCGAGCGAGCGTGCGTGCGTGTCCAGGATGTGGCCATATGAAACTGTTTATGAAATAATCTAAGATGAGGTCTGATAAAGCCCTTTTGTGCCCTCTGTAATGCTTTTGCCCTACCGCTCACAGGATGAGTATGGGGTGCACAATAAACTAGCCGCCTTCGGCGGCAACAATCAACAAAAATAAAAAAGCCAGCCGTGAAGTGGCGCGTACATATACCCAGCTCCATGAGCGATGAGACGCAGGATGATAGTTTACATTTCATCAGAGCTCTGACCATGGTAGCGACGATAAGCTAAGAAAAACTAGGCGGGACTCTGATGGAGAGAGGAACTGAGAGAGCTGCATCAGCGATAATACAAAAAAGCTTTAGATTGGATTTGGTCAAGGATGGATGAGGTGGATGTGAGAACACGTCCATTCCTGGGGGTGAGTATGTAGCCTATCGACAGTTGCTGGACTTGTCATGTCTGGCTCTGCTAAATTCTTTCTTTAGCAAGATCTGGTAGAGAAAAAAACAGACTACTGATTGTTCAGCAGGATCTGTTAGACAGACTAATATTGTATGAGGTCGCTTTTATTTGTTAGACAAACAGACTAAATTTGTATGAGGTCGCTTTTATTGGCAGGTCTGATGTAAATATTAAACTTGAATATGTCACATTGTTCATTATTGATCTCTTTAGGAACTGAAGTCATCTCATTTTATGTGTGTGTTATAAGCTGTATATATCAGATCCATCATTAAGTCAATCCATAGAACTATCCGGGTAGGAATGACAGTGAAACTGTCAACACATCGTCAACAGGGCAAAGCCACTTCAGTGATGGGGATGGTACTGGGAAATGGTTCTGTTTCCAGGGAATCTATGAATATATTAGCAAAGCACATGTATTGGAGACTATTGTCTTTCTTACGCCTTTCTACCTTCCGGCTATCAATAGTTCATTACAGTAACTCTTACTCGTTTTTCTTATCATGTTTACATTTAAAGCTGTGTCGAATTGGCTTCAAAACTTCCTCATCTAATCCGTTCCACTTACGACTAAATTCTTTCTGGCATCCCTATGATTCATTTGTTTCCAGTTTCCATTTATGTCCTCTCGTTTTAATGTTCCTTAATTTGTACATTGCTTCTACATCTACTTTGTCAATGTGTGTGCGTAAATCACGAAGAAATTGCCACGTGATGAACTATATGAAAATGTATAACAGCGAAGGGAAACTGAAACGAGAAATTACTCGAGTGTTGTCCTGTTAATCAACACACCTTCAGAAGTATGAACACTACAATACAGTGGATGGGAAATATAAAGGCACGGAAATGGAATGTGACACGCGAGTTGAAAAAACGTAGTAGGGGGGGGGGGAAGGAGACAAGCCTGCAGTTTTCATATTTTTTTTCGGGCGCATGGTTCAGAGTCCGGAGATTGTAGTGCGCAATTTTTAGATTTGCGGCGCGCGGCTTCCTGCTCTCGGGAAGTAGAGAATAATATCTCCTCCCCTCCCGCACTCCCTGCCCTCCACCACGTTTTGGATTAGCAGGGGTCAGCTTCAACTCCAGCTTCCCTCTCTCCCAGTATCGCCAGTCAGTGTAGATTTCTTTCCCCCACCCACTGTGTAATCGGTAAACATATCGTATCATCCATCAGCCAAATAACATACACTATCAGCGATTCAAATTAATCTAGGGAGCGTTCGCTAATCTGTTCAGACAATCCCAGCGAGTCACAGTTATAAACATTCCCATACCGAAAGGCTCGCTGGTAATGAATATACTTCATTGTGTCGGGGGACAGGAAGCTTGTATGTATTCATACACGTTAGGCGTATATCGAGGTCTCTCCTTCAAGGTTGAATTACTGACCCCGCCCAGGATTCAACCCCACAACAAGCTCCTGAGTACCTACTTACTGCTAGGTGAGCATAGGCATTAGGTGAAAGGAAATGTGCCCAACCATTTCTGTCCCGCCCAGGATTCCAACCCGAAATTCTCGATTGTGCATCGAGAACGATCCCGACTATTATATATCGGGACCCTCAAATTTATATATGAATGTGCAAACTACTTGATTGGAAACAATTTATTGCAAATAAAGAAAATCACTCGGCCTATTAGGCAAATCGGGTCTTGCATAGTAGGCCAAGAAGTGCGTTCTGGCTACTAGGTATATATATATATATATATATATATATATATATATATATATATATATATATATATATATATATATATATATATATATATATATATATACATGCACAGACTGCCTGTCCCCAATAATCTAATAAAATCTAAATATGGGACCTAGCAAGATCAAGATATAGATGAAGAATAACACCAAGTGTTTTATTGCTAATCCTTTCATTCTAATAATCTATCCCAATATCTCATTTGCCTTACTTTTTATTTATTTATTTATATATACTAGAGTTATATTCTTGTACAGCCACTAGCACGCATAGCGTTTCGGGCAAGTCCTTAATCCTATGTTCCCCGAAATACGACCCCACCAAATTGTTTAACAACCAGGTACCCATTTTACTGTTGGGTAAACAGAGGCTACAGTTAAGGATTTGCGCCTAGTAAATTCTCCCTGGTCAGGATACGAACCCAGGACAAAGCACTTGCGAAACGCCAGGCGAGTGTCTTACCACTTCACCACGGGGACTGTAATAAATGGTACTTCGAACATTTATACATTGATAATGGATTATACAAAAAATCCGATGACACTTGAGATCAAAGTGCTCCCTAGTACAACGAAGTCTCCCCATCGAAGGTCCCGTAATTCCTGTTTCAGAGGAGTCTCCCACTGAGGCGCCCCGTGTTCCCCGCTACAGAAGTCTTTCCCACCCCTTCCCCCTCGGAAATCTCGAGCTCCCTGATGTAGAGAAGTCTCTCCCTAGTGCTCCCTGATGTAGAAAAGTTTCCCCTCGTAGGCCTCGTGTTTCCTGTTATACAGGAATCTCCCCCTCAGAGGTCCCGTGCTCCCTGCAACAGGAGAAGTCTCCCCCTCAGAGGCCCCGTACTCCCTGCAACAGAGAAGTCTCCCCCTCAGAGGCCCCGTACTCCCTGCAACAGAGAAGTCTTCCCCTCAGAGGTCCCGTACTCCCTGCAACACAGTCTCCCCCCCCCCCTCAGACGCCCCGTGCTCCCAGTTACAGAGGAGTCTCCCCCTCAAACGCCCCGTGCTCCCAGTTACAGAGGAGTCTCCCCCTCAGACGCCCCGTGCTCCCAGTTACAGAGGAGTCTCCCCCTCAGACGCCCCGTGCTCCCCGCTACACTACCATTTTCTCTGACTTCCTCATTCGTAAACAACTTGGCTACGGAGCAGAATACACAAGGCCGAGCTGCTGACTTTGTGCCCTTACGTTACCATTCTCTTCTCTCTGCCTGCCCAGAATGGCACTCTAGCACCTACGAGCGGTGCGTTGATCCACTGGAGGAGGAGGAAGAGGACGGTCAACGTAGCAGGTGTCAACTGGCCGGATATGAAAAGATTTTGGTTGGAGGAACTGTGGCACTGGGCGAGAACTGCGGTGATTGGGAAGATGTCCGGAATCAACGTGTGTGCCACGTTTGCCATCTTGGTCTTGATGCAGCTTGTGCCTTCATCGTATGCTGTAGTTGATCAAGTGAGGCCCTCTCTGTCTGGCTCAATGGATAGCATAGTTTATTTATTATTTTGGTTGGGGGAAGTGAGCCAGTTTTGTATAATTGTGAGGCACTCTATAATTTTAACTTGATTAAGCAATGTATAGTACTGTACATAGATATTTTCAATAGGAAGCAGGTCACTTCATTAAACAAATCAATTTTTTGGGGGGTGGGGAGGGGTATATGATTTACTTTGATCCAACATAACCTAATCTTGTACAACATAACAAAATGAAATGCTAATACTGTACTGTAATTAGAAAATGAGCTATGTGAGAAATGCCTTTGTTGCAATTTTATTATACTCGTTTCATTGATTTATGAATGTAACTTGGCTTGAAACAAGTGTTATTCTGAACCATATGGAATAGACACAATGTAACTTAAGAATTATCTGAATTATGAACCCCTCACCTAACCTAAAGTTTAATAACATGGATACAGGCCACTGTCTATTTATTAGAAATTACAATGGGATAAGCAGTACTGTACAAGTAAGGAAGTGATAAAATTTTATATTTCCTATAACCAAGTGGTTCAGCTACACATGAGCCTGCATCTAATATTTAAGTTAGGTATGGCTTCATAATTCGGCCCTTTCTCAAGTTACTCCTCAGAAAGGGGGTGATTTTTTTCCAATAAGGCCTGCTTACAAAGTTGATTTAGAACAGCACTAAATTTTGGTGCTATGACATTTTTATCATGGGTGTTCATAGACCTCTGCTTCATTCCCAACAGTATTTCATCTTAAGAGATTGTCTCTGGCAGAGCCTATTTTGCTGGGCTTTGGTGTTTATCCTTTTTTTTTCTTCCTTTATCAATCTGAGTTGCCTAGTACATGTGCCCCTAGAACTCAGTTTACAGTATTATTGAATTTGGCCCTCACTTTGTTTCACCTTTTCCATTTGTCATTTTTTTCAAAAAGCTTTTTCTTAATGGCTTTCCTCTTATTTGGTGCTCACCACTGGTAACCTTGTCAGAGCTTCATGCCTTGCAGCACCATCCTGATGTTTATACCATGCAATCTCAATGTTTGGCTGCAGTCTCATTCCTCCCTTTAAGTCAAGAATGTGTCGTGTGCATTTTACTGGGGTCTGATTGTGGTTCGTGCTTGGTTTGTTTACCCTACTGTACCTCACACCTTATGTTCTTTGGCTGCCTCTCATTGCTTTATGAGAGAAGCCTCTCTGGCTTCTTGCTCTAGTGACCTGTTGTTTTTGATCCTTGGACTCTGGCACCATGTCCTAAAGCTCAACTCCTGCAGCTTCTACAGTGGGTGGTGAACATAAGAACTAAGTTGCACTGCAAAAGACCTATTGGTCATACTAGGCACGACCCATTTATATTTACCCTCCCTCATCCATGTACATGTCCAATCAATTCCTGAAACCTGTTAAACTGTTTGTCTCAATAATGTTAGTAAGGAAGTTAGTAATTATTCCACTCGACCATAGCCATTTCTAAAGCATTAGTTTCCTACAACCATTCTAAAATTATATTTCTCTAGCTTATACAAATTGTTGCAGGTTCTAACCTGATCCAGTATGTTCAAAACTCGGTTTTATGCCACCCAGGTTTATGCTGCTAACTTATTTAAAAAAACTTTATCCTAACATCTATATTTCAGTCTAGTAAGTTCTTTGTAAGGATGTGGAATTTCTTCGTAATATTCAGCAAGTAGCTAGTGTGAAGAAAAATATTGGAAAATACAGTGGAACCTCGAGTGACGAGCAGCTCCAGTTACAAGCATTTCGAGTAACGAGCAAGCTGCTCGCAGAAAATATGTCTCGACTGACGAGCTTTCGCTCGAGCGTTCCTGCTGGTTCTCGGAAACCTCCGACGACAGTTTTGTTGTTGTTTCGCAAGATGAGTTTTCCACATGACGAGCTCGTTGCCAGAACGGATTAAACACGTTAAACGAAGCGCCACTGTATAATGAATACTTCTTTCTATGGATTATAGGACTTATAATTTGGCAGAAATATTATACTTTATAATCTTGAAAGTCGTATGCTTAAATTACTTGTACAGTATTTGTTTGTTGGTCGCTCTATGGATGCATCAATTTACACTTTTCCAGGATTGTGAACTTAGAGCTCTGTTGACATGTTCCAGTCATGAGGTGTGTGTACAAACCTCAAGTACTAGTACTACTGGTGTCTGCAAGTGTGAGTCTCAGTTAGTTTTGAATAAAGCAACTGGCAAATGTGAAAAGGACGATCCATCGGTGCTACCAGGTATGTTACGAGGACTTGACGGAAAGTCCTTTTTTTGTCTTTTTTTTTTTTCCCCCCTGCACGGGCCCTAAGCCTCTGGCTGGCCCACTGAGTGTTACTTGGTTCTGTTTTACTTAGGCAGAGTATGAGTATTTATGACTCGTATGGTTGCTTCAGTAAGATTTTGCCCCATGTGTTTAACAACTACTGCTCTGTTGAATCTAATTTGAAATCTTATTGAGTTTGTAACTGTGCACTGTGTTAGATAATGTTCCAGTGGTCTGTCGGGCATTTCTCCACAGTGCTGACATTTCCTCTCATCATCTGGAACCTGTAAGCCTATTTCCCATGCACATGGGTATCCAAGCCTGATGCGATGTAGCAGCATACTCTAGGCTAGCAAAAGTTAGATCATCATTCAGGAACCTGAGTAAAGAGGCATTTAGGGCACTTTGCACTGCTTATGTGAGACTAGTCCACCCTAGAAAAAAGGAGAGAGGGGGGGGGGGGAAACATGATAAAGACAAATAATATAAGAACATAAGAACAAAGGTAACTGCAGAAGGCCTATTGGCCCATACGAGGCAGCTCCTATTCTATAACCACCCAATCCCACTCATATACTTGTCCAACCCGTGCTTGAAACAATCGAGGGACCCCACCTCCACAATGTTACGCGGCAATTGGTTCCACAAATCAACAACCCTGTTACTGAACCAGTATTTACCCAAGTCTTTCCTAAATCTAAACTTATCCAATTTATATCCATTGTTTCGTGTTCTGTCCTGTGTTGATACTTTTAATACCCTATTAATATCCCCCCGGTTATGTCCATTCATCCACTTGTAAACCTCTATCATGTCACCCCTAACTCTTCGCCTTTCCAGTGAATGCAACTTAAGCTTTGTTAATCTTTCTTCATATGAAAGATTTCTAATTTGGGGAATTAACTTAGTCATCCTACGCTGGACACGTTCAAGTGAATTTATATCCATTCTATAATATGGCGACCAAAACTGAACTGCATAATCTAAATGGGGCCTAACTAGAGCAAGATATAGCTTGAGAACCACACCAGGTGTCTTGTTACTAACGCTGCGATTAATAAATCCAAGTGTCCGATTTGCCTTATTACGAACATTTATGCATTGATCCTTTTGTTTTAAATTCTTACTAATCATAACTCCCAGATCCCTTTCGCAATCCGACTTCGCAATCACAACACCATCTAGCTCGTATCTTGTAACTCTATCATCATTACCTAACCTCAGAACTTTACATTTATCAGCATTAAACTGCATCTGCCAATCCTTTGACCATTTCAAAACCCTATCTAGATCAACTTGAAGTGATAGTGAGTCCTCCTCCGAATTAATTTCCCTACCGATTTTCGTATCATCGGCAAATTTGCAAATGTTGCTACTCAAACCTGAATCTAAATCATTTATATATATTATAAACAACAGAGGTCCCAGGACAGAGCCTTGAGGCACTCCACTTACAACATTTTCCCACTCTGACTTGATTCCATTTATACTAACTCTCTGTTTCCTTTGGTATAGCCATGCCCTAATCCAGCTTAATATAGCACCCCCAATACCATGAGACTCTATTTTTTTAATCAGTCTTTCATGTGGCACTGTATCAAAAGCTTTGCTAAAGTCAAGGTATACAACATCGCAATCCTTACCACTATCAATTGCCTCAACAATGCTAGAATAAAAAGATAACAAATTTGTTAAACATGAACGGCCATTTATAAAACCATGTTGCGACTCAATTATTAATTTATGTTTTTCAAGATGAAGACGAATTTTATTTGCTATTATAGATTCGAGTAACTTTCCCACAATAGACGTTAGGCTAATTGGTCGATAGTTAGACGCAAGTGATCTATCTCCTTTCTTAAAAACTGGTATCACATTAGCAACTTTCCAAAACTCTGGCACTCTGCCTGACTCTATTGATTTATTAAATATGGTTGACAGTGGGTCACAAAGCTCCTCTTTGCATTCTTTAAGCACCCTGGCAAACACTTCATCCGGCCCTGGGGATTTGTTTGGTTTGAGTTTTACTATTTGTTTAAGAACATCCTCCCTGGTAACTGCTAAACTCGTCAACCTGTCCTCGTCCCCACCCACATAGACTTGTTCGGCTGAAGGCATATTGTTAAGTTCCTCTTTAGTAAATACAGATACAAAATATTTATTAAAAATACTACTCATCTCTTCACTATCTGTTATTTGACCTGTCTCAGTTTTTAATGGACCTATCCTTTCCCTAGTCTTAGTACGATATAACTGAAAAAACCCTTTAGGATTTGTCTTTGCTTGCTCTGCTATGCGAACTTCATAGTTTCTTTTTGCTTTCCTTATCTCTTTTTTAACATTTCTAACCAGTTGTACGAATTCCTGTTCTAAAGTGACCTCCCCATTTTTAATCCTTTTGTACCAAGCTCTCTTTTTACCTATAAGGTTCTTCAAATTCTTTGTTATCCACTTTGGGTCATTAGTATTCGATCTATTCAATTTGTATGGTATACTACGTTCCTGTGCTTTGTTTAGAATATTCTTAAATAAGTTATATATTGAATCCACATCGAAATCCCCATTTAAGTCACCTATCGCTGGGTTCATGTCTCGCTCCAAGACCGGCCCACACCCCATACCCAAGACTTTCCAATCAATTTGACCCAAAAAATTTCTTAGGCTATTAAAATCAGCTTTTCGAAAATCTGGCACTTTAACAGAATTTTCTCCTACTGGTCTATTCCATTCTATGCTAAATCTGATTTCTTTGTGATCACTGCTCCCTAGCTCACTCCCTATTTCGATGTCATTAATTTGCGTTTCCCTGTTAGTTAACACTAAATCTAAAATATTATTTTCCCGTGTTGGTTCCTTAATGTGTTGCGTAAGAAAGCAATCGTCAATTAATTCTAGAAAATCTTCTGCTTCACTATTCCCTGTTTTGTTCAACCAGTTTATTCTGCTAAAATTAAAGTCACCCATGACATAAATACTGTTAGATCTAGATGCTCTAGATATTTCATCCCATAGATGCTTTGCTTCCATTCTGTCTAAATTTGGTGGCCTATATATTACTCCTATTATAATATTATTAGCTTTTTCGTTTAATTCAATCCAAATAGTTTCTGTGTGTGGCTCTGTTTTGATTCCCTCTTTGAGACTACATTTCAAATTGTCCCTAACATATATGGCTACTCCACCTCCTCGTCTAATATATCTATCTGTGTGAAATAGTTTAAATCCATATATTTGATATTCAGCTAATAGTTCTCTATTTTCTACATTCATCCACGTTTCGGTAAGTGCAATAATATCTATTTTTTCTGTGCAGACAAGAGCATTTAATTCGTTAATTTTATTTCTTAGACTTCTACTGTTAGTGTAATATACCCTAAGTGAATTGTTATTTTGCGGACCTTCTCTTTCCCTGATCGTTTTGCCAATTCCTTTCTCCCACAAACACATACTTTTATTACCTCCTTCCTCCAAATCAATTCCCATACCTCTATCTACTAACAGTTTAAACCCAAACAAACACCTCTAACCACTTCTTCTAACGAGTTCGCAACAGCAACAACCCCAGCTCTCGATAGATGCACCCCATCACGAGCATACATTTCATTTCTTCCATAGAAGTGTTCCCAGTTGTCTATGAAAGATATTGCATTTGATTTGCAATATCTTTCCAGCCGGCAATTGACACCAAGTGCCCTCGATATCCATTCATTTCCCACTCCCTTTCTTGGAAGAATGCCACATATGATCGGGATTCCTCCCTTGCTCCTAACTAACTCTATGGCTGTTTTATACCTCTTGAATCAGTTCCTCACTCCTAACTCGACCAACATCATTTCCTCCCACGCTAATGCAAATAATGGGATTGTTCCCATTACCAGCCATAATATCATTCATGTTGTTTATAATATCACCAATGCCAGCTCCGGGATAGCAAACCCTTAACCTGTTCCCCCTATCTCTAGCACAAAACGTTCTATCCAAATACCTTATCTGGGAATCTCCCACAACTAATGTTTGCTTAGGTACTTCCTTTACTTTCTGAGGGGCCTGCGCTTCCTTTCTCTTCGTTGCTTTCCCTTTTGCGCGATCCACAGTCTCTCCACAGCACTCGTCCTCCAAAACGTCAAATGAATTAGAAGTTGCTATGGCGTTTGAAGGCGGCTTTATCAAAGTCTTCTTAAGGCCCCTGTCTTTCACAACTCTCCAAGACGAGGTCCCTTTACTACTGGTCTCCTCCTTCGTTACTTCTCGTTGTTTTTTGAGCTGACGCACCTCCTCCCGCAGAAAGTCCAACTCTGTCCTCAGGGCTCCCACTAGAGTCACCAGGTCCTTAACTACAACTTCCATATTGCTATGATAATATAACAACACTCAGGAGCTCCGGTTTAACACAACCTCTCACTGTGACTTCACCTGACCGACGAATGGTGTACTGTACTTTGGGTGATTGACAGTGTGGAATTAGATGAAATATTCACATTGTACACCAATAGAACAAGGGAACATGGGTGGAAGCTTGAGACTCGGATGAATCAGAGATACAGTGGCACCTTGACTTACGATTGCTCCAACTTACGATAATTTTGAATTACGATGTAAATCTGATAGAAAAATGCGATTCGACTTGCAATAGTGTCGTTGACTTATGATATTTGTTGGTACACGTTTAGGTCGACTGAGCCCGTGGTTCCCGGTCACGCGGGTCAACCTGCCTCAGTTTACTAGAGCTGCCCGCTTAGTGACGATCACGCCTATAAGAAATTCCGTTTTTGTGGTGATTTTTTGCTCTTTGAATATAAAACTGATTATTATATATCACGCCATGGGTCCCAAGAAAGTCAGTGGTAAGATTCAACCTAAGAAAATAGTTGTGAGTTGAGTCAGTAAAGGATATATATCCCTTCCTCATTAAGAAAATGTGTGAAGTATGGGAAGAACTGCAAAGTTTTGTTAAAAAAAACTCACCCACATAAAACTGTAGCAGGCTGTTGCATTGACCTTTTAAATGACAATGTGATGTCTTACTACAGATAAGTGTTAAAATGTAGGGAAAAACAAGTGTTTTTAGCCAGATTCTTAGTAAGACAAGCAAGCAGTGAGCCACAAGCAGGTCCTAGTGGTATGCAGGCAAAACATGATAGTGTATCCCAGAAAAGTCATCACTGCCTGATGTTATAATGGAAGGGGACTCCCCATCCAAACAATAACACCTCTACTCCTCCTCCCCCCCTCATCACCAACTTCCATACCCCCATCAAGAGTCCTCCATAAAGGTAAGATAAACATATGTACTGTATTGTAGTTAGAGAACAAAATTGTATTCAGTATAAAATATATTTGTAAGTTAATATTTTGGAGGGTGGGGAACGGAGTAATTCAATTCTCTTTATTTCTTATGGGAAAAATCGCTTCGACTTACGATCTGTCTCTGGGAATGGATTACCATCGTAATTCGAGGCCCCACTGTATTAGAAAGTTTTCATTTAGCGTGATAGTAGTGGGGAAATGGAATGAGCTAACAGAGCTGGTTGTGGAAGCAAACTTTATTCATAATTTGAAAAAGTAGATACGATAGAGAAATAGGACAGGAGTCATTGCTTAAAACAACCGGTGGCTAGAAAGGTGAGGTCCAAGAGCCAATGTTCAATTCTGCAAACACAAATAGGTGAGTACACACACACACACACACACACACACACACACACACACACACACACACAGTAGACGGTTGGAACAAGTTAGGTGAGAAGGTGGTGGAGGCCAAGACCGTCAGTAGTTTCAAAGCGTTATATGACAGAGTGCTGGGAAGACGGGACACCACGAGCATAGCTCTCATCCTGTAACTACACTTGGGTAATTACAATAGATTGGGAGGACTACGAAGCAAAAACGGAGGACAGCTGGACAGACAGATTTGTAAACCTTTCTAGCCACTGCACTGTGTAGAGTGCCTTAAAAGTGCTCTGAGAGTTGTGCTATTTTTTTTTTTTTTTTGTAATTAGGCTATACAGTATTTTAATGTTTTTTAATGTTTTCATCACTCATTGTGTTTTGAAATGAAAATGGTTGAATTTGGAAACATTTTGACATTAACTTTACCTGAACATGTTGACCAAACCACACACTAAAAAGTGAAGGGACGACGACGTTTCGGTCCGTCCTGAACCATTCTTAACCACAATCTGGACCACAATCGACTTGAGAATGGTCCAGGACAGACCGAAACGTCGTCATCCCTTCACTTTCTAGTATGTGGTTTGGTCAACATATTTCGGCCACATTTTTGTGACTCCTCATCTGCATATGTTTACCTGAACATTTATAAAAACAACAAAAATATGTCCTTGACAATTGCACTATGACATTTTTGCCAAAACCAGGTGAGCAATGCAGTGGCTTGTCAAGTTGTTACCTTGCTAGGAAAGCTACCTCTGTAGCCCTCCTATCACTTTCTCCTTTATTCTCTTCTCTCCACATCTCATGTTAGTGATTCTATACTCTCCTTATTTGAGTAATGGTATTGTCATTTTTAAGCTGCTGCTCCTTCACTGGGACTCTAATGTTAACATATTCCATATAACCAAGCTTATGTACATTGGGCATTCTTCTATCATGTTAGTCATTACTTCCCTATTGTCCTCCCTGGTTCCCCCTTACTCCTATCCTTCCTATCTGGCATCTTGTTTCCTTCCCTCAGGTGTTCCTTGTGTTAGCACTATAAGATCTAACCCCAGGAACAACAGGCACTTGATTGCAGCCATTCATCATGTTTTGTAAGGGGTGATTGTAGTTTAGAAAATTAAGGAAAAACATTATTTGTGATCCCGAGAATACTCTTATCACTACACACACAATGTTCTCAATACACACCTCCACTGCTTGTTTGCAGTTAACATGTACCACGTACTACCAGGGCAATCTTAGCATCATTGTAGGCCCTGGGCAAAGTAATACACTGGGACCTTTAACCAGATCATTATCCCGCCCGACCTTTAAACTGCGGGATTACCATCAGGTAATTATGCACAAATTATTTATATTATAAATATAACTTGAAAAGGGGAATTTGAATCCCAGGCCTTTTTGAGCAAGAAGTCAAATAATTATCCATTCTGCCAAGAGATCTCTCGTAAACAATAACAATATGGCACCATGTGACCCCACTGGGCAACTGCCCAGTGTGCCTATGCATTTAGAAGGCACAGTCTGCTATGTTCATGAATATTTACACTAATCACATCACATGCTGGACCATAAACAAACAAAAAAAATCAACTCGGTGAGGTCCTAGTCGAACTTGGTGTCCCAAATTCTTGATGCGGGGCTAACAACAAAAATCAAAATGTGATCTTCCAAATTGAATAATTATTATGTGGATTGGGGAATGGGAAAGGGAACTATCAGAAGAAAGTGCCAAACCATTACAACAATATAGCACTTGAAAGGGATCAGGATAAGGATTTGGGTAAATAGAAGAAAGAAATGTTGCCCAAGCACTTAGATGGCCGAGGATTGAATGCTGACCTGGATGTGGACAAGTTGCAAGTTTTAGGAAAGAGGGTGAGGGGGTTCAATCTTTTCAGTACAGTAATTCTGAACTCTGTTATTAATTACTTAATCTAATATAGTTATGTGCCTAGATTCACTGCTGGATTTTGGGATAACTTCTAAATATATTTGTGTATATAGTCATCTGCTTATTCTGAATTTACCTGCACACTGATATATTCTCTATTTTAATTCTATTATTCCATCTAAATTTTAACTTTCTTTTCAGCATATATTTGTGATAGGTTATGAGTTAATGTATTTAATTCCTTTTCCTTTTATTGGCAGTACATATTTACTCTATATTTCTCCCCAGTGCCAGCAAGCAGCCATTTGGGATTAACCTTGGGTTTAGGCCTCACGTTTTTCCTACTCTTCGTGGTGGTTGCCTTAATATTGGCACATCGTAAGCTTGGTTTATTTTCTGGCATGTGTGATAATCTTCCACGACTACGTATTTTTGGCAGGAGAGGTCAAGACATAAGCTTGGCAGATAATGATGATGATGATGTCAACCCTATTGTATGAGATGCTTCATTGCTTGTACTTGAAATTATGTCTATTCGTTAATGTAACGTGACTCACAGTGAGTTTTGGCTCCAGGAATGCAAATGTAATATATTAAATTGATTAGAAAGTACAGGTTTGAATGAACTATAATAACTGTTTAGATGCTATTTCTTACTGACTGTTATGGGCATTTGAAGGGTTGTATTTTGTTCAGATGTACAAGATGTAACACAAGACTTGCTGTACTTACTGATATGTCTAACAAGTACTTTGACATTTTTAATGACTTTATAAGATTTATCGTAAAATTTATTGCATGTGGTCTTCGTGAATAATAATAAATTTAAATATTTAATGACAGTAGAATCTCAGAGGGTCATTAATGAGGAAGTGATTATAGTTACCTATATCACAATGTTTTGTACATCTCTCGATTTCCACGTGAGGTCAGGTCTCGTGGTGGCCCCTGCTTGTGAATCTCGGTATAAACCGTAACACTCTTCAATGTTGTTACATTGAAAGACCAAATAACGATAATTTTTATTGTTTTAACATTTGTTGAACAAAAAATGTTTTATCAGTTAATGTCTCCTTTACATGTTGCATCAACTACACATTTTATTTGGTTCATTTAAACTTTCAGGGTCAGTAAGGAAGTTCTGTATAATGAATTAGCTATTGTTACCTGAATTTACATGATTATTAATGAATGCTTTATTTGTACGTAGCACAATAGTAGAGGTAATCCTTCTCAGAAACTGTGATACTGTTTGATATATTTTCATATTGTAATGCGATATTGTTTTCTTTGAGTTGCAGTTTTGATTAAAATATTTATTCATTGCTGCAATGTCAGGGCTTTTCTACAAATATACATTTTATATTGTGTTACTCTATAAATAAGAAATAGATCACAACAGTGGACAATGATAGTGGTGCATTCCAGTCTTAATGATTAATCTTAAGCATGATTAAAAACATAGCTGTATATTCCATTGTAAATTGTGTCAGAAATGGTAATTAAATACAGAGTAAAATAAGATATTGTACTGAAATTTTTACAAATTATTATTATAATGGTGCAAATATATTTTTAAATCTTTAGTAACTCTTCACTTAAAATCAAAACCATATAAAACAGAAGCTTGCTCTTGTGCCCTGCTATAACTGGTTCAATTTCACCTCGCGTGAAAATCGCAGGATGACGACAATCCTTACACTGCGGCTGAACAGAGCACCAGTGCGTACCAAACATTGTATGGGACTTTGTATTTTTTTTTTTTTTTTTAATCATTAGCCCTTGCACTAAACTGTCAAAACACTATGTGTTTGTCAGTGTAGATTTTCTTTAACATCCATCCCCACTACCAGTTTAAGTTGGTAGATAAATTCAGTGTCTGAAAAGTTTGGATATCTATTAAATTTGTAATTGATAAACGGCTGGCCTTTCAACTTTTATCAGTTGATCATCATATAAAATGTGTGAAATCAATTAAGTAAGACTTGCAGGAGGATTCATGCAGTATGCCACTCTCCATCTACTACACTATATACAGCAGTCAATTTCTATTTTTATACTTGTTTTGCTCTTCGTGTTCCCGTAAAGATGTTAATGATTGTTCTTCCTAGCATTACTGTATTATATAATGTGCCTCATTATATTAAACATACAAATAAGATGTTAAAATGAAAATATTAAAAGTGTACAATTTTGAAAAAACTATTTTTATATAAAGTATTACTATACTATATTTTGTATTGCCATCATCTCTATGATTGTGATGAGCCAAAAACTAATATTGCTGATTTTGCATATTAACAAATACTTATCATACAAGGTTAAACATATTACCTTTAATACCAGTTTAGGAAGAGAAGGAACTAACATGATGTGTGATTGTTCATTTGTTTCTAGTTTTGCATTTTAAGCAAATCAAGTCTCACATTTACTATGGAGTATTTAAGTATACATTATGAAAACAAATACTGTACCTCTATTTGGATATATTCTACCACAGTAAATATTGAGTATGTTTGAATATTTCACATTTTCATTTAGTTTTGTTACAATGTGTTCATTGATGAAATGGAAGAAAATACCTTTGCAAAACAAGGAATGGTATAGCGTGTGATATCATCCTCAGTGTCATTACCTCGTATCCCGTTTAATTGAAGAGGGTAGATCCCATCCCATAAAAGGTAGGGTGCAGTAGAGGAAAATACTGTTCTGAAGATGGTAAAAGATGACATCTGTTTATTCACCACCTCTCTCGCACCACTTGGCATCATGGAGAACCCATACCTCTGTACTCTAGCAGATCATCACAGCAGCAGTGATAATCTTCACGAGTTGTCATATACAGACAAGCTAATATTTACTCCCTCTTCACAAACTGCTATGACCTTGCCTATATCTTGTTCTATTCATACAGTCAAACCTTGCTTCCAGAAACACTCATCATGTCTATTCAACTTCTTGGTCTTCCTCTCTTCCATCCCTTTAATTAAAATACATAGATTTATTCAATCGATCATCATTCAGTTGTGGCTGAATTATATCTATACACATACCTAAATCTGAGGACTTTGAACTTGTTTTGTGAGGAACCTCTTTGCAGCTCCTCAACCTTAACTCTGGATCTACCATGCCTTAATGCAACAACTAGGCCTCTAAAATCCAATTGTCACCTACCACGGCTGGAAATTGGATCTCTCCATAAGGAAAGAGGATCAGGGATCAACCACAAAAATGGGGGGGGGGGGGCCTTAGAAAACCAAAGTACAACAAAATAATTAACTGCGTGGAGGAAATGAGGTAAACTTGCTTCCCTTTCATAATCATAAATCAAGGTGGCATAATCACTGCCACCTTGGTCCTACCACGCCTGAATGCTACAGAGTGGCAGCCAAGTCATGAGGTTCCAGTCAGCTTGTCACTTCACTCTAAAGCCACCTGTGCCAAACATCATCCCCACCCCATACCCACATGAAAGAAATGCTCAATCATCCTGGGAAAAAGCATACCAGAAATAACTTTGATGTCCTCCCCACTTTGCTGTTTCCAGCATGTACCACAAAAGGGCTAACAGGATGAATCCCGTCAACCGCCAGACCTGGGTGAGCATTGAGAATGCTCCCTTGACGACACAGTAGAGGTCACAGCAGATCCACTTGTGCCTGGGCATCTGACACACCAGAACCTCTGTTCCATCCAGGAATTTGAGAAAGCAGGTACAGGGCTGGACTAAAACCAAACTAGAACCTGAGCTGCCAACTGCAGCTGAAGTACCTGTTTGGGCAGATGGAAGGACACACTCAAAGCATCTAAAACTTTAGAAATCTTTTTCCTCGGGAAAAAACAAGAGGAAAGAATGTGGTAGCAAACAGAAGTGAAAGTGACCAAGGTGATTACTTATTTATTTCACAACTTGCATGCTTGCCTTAAGATTGTTTTACTGATTTTTACATGTCATCCTTTCTAAGATTGTCTATTCTCCTCACCACACATACTTTCTAGGCAATCCATTTCTACTGTTCCAATTATGTACTGTATTTAGTTTTCATCCTCATGATACACCATTGCCTCTCATTTTCCTCTGGCTACATCTTGTATTTTCTTTATCCTATCTTGGATAGTCGTTGTACCAGACACCTTCCTTCCCCGATTCACTCTAGTCTCAACTTTGCTTGCAAAGCTTCTTCTTTTAATAAAGTTTACATCTTGGGTGTTTAAACTAATATATCATTTATCCATTAACTATTTTCACGTATAGTGTTTCCTCCGTCTTCATTCCCAAAATTTTAACTTTTTGTCCATATTAACCTTTTCTTTTTCATATATCAATAAAGCTGAACTTCATACACAAATCTCTATGATTTTCTGCTAGAACTGCATCATATGCATCAATAAAATTGTATATAGTGCTCCATTTTCTTCTATCAGACAGTAAATTACCACAATAATTTATTAAAATAGTTTTGAAACTTAACTTTAAATCCATGTTCTGATAAGGGAAGCAACCCCTTCTTGATCACCCTTAAAGTCGTTAAATTTTTGTTGGGCGTACACTGTATATATATATATATATATATAAATAATTTCTTGGAAATGGCACTTAAAGCATGGATCTCTCAGTCATTCTTAATTGTTCAGCATCATTTTCATAATAACTACATGAGAGACTGCTTCTGTAACATGTTTTGTAAGGAAATCTTGGAGAAATGGTGATGTGCCATATGTTGCCTGTCATCTTTAGTTGTTTTTGTGTGCAGTTTATTTTCAGTTCCTGGTGAAGAGAAGCTTTGTCTATTCAAAGTTTCTTGAGATATTAAAAATCTGGCCATGGCTTTATTCTAAAGACAACATGTAGCATTAAATTAATTTCTGTAGAACCAATCGTTGAATTGAATCAATAGGAACAATAGTATGAAATACTATAATTAGACAATACAGAAATATGCATAATGTTTGAACGTTGGCATAATCAAAGGTATAAAATTATTTTCTTAAAAGAACTAAACTGTATACTGTACACTATCTTAGTAGTAGAAACATTAAACATGAATCCACTCATGGATAAATTTAATTGGCATTTTGGTCCATCCTAGACCATTATCAAGTCAAAATGTAATAATGGTTTGGATCAAACCAAAAGTTGATCACTTTGTTGTTGTAATGGGTTAAGAGTTGTTCTACATTATTGTGATTTGTTCTTCGGGTATAATACTGTAGTGATAAAACTGATATAGTTTTTGTGAAGAGTGTAAAGTTTTGGGTTAAATATAAATTATGGGCGTGGTATAATGGCAGAATGGTTATCATGTGGGGCTGTAGTTAGGAGCTAGTAGCTGAGGTAAGGAAATTATCAGAAGAAAGTGCATAGTCAGTATGACTATTACTTTAAAGTGATATGAGGATGGATTGAAAGAACTATGTTCAACAGCTTAGATCATCGAGGATCGAATGCCAATAAGGCATGATGCAAGACCATCGCAGTACTGACTAATCAAAGTAAATAAGCAGAGTGGTTATCCTATGGGGCTTTATATATGGATTTAGTGGTCAAGTGATTATCATGTTGGGCTTGTAGTCTTAGGGAGCCTAAGCTTCTAAAGCAAGTTAAGAGCCTTTCTCATGTAACTATATCCCCATGCCTAACCTCACTTGGTCTATAAATAGCTTGACTAAACACCTTAGTCTGGTCCTTGCATTAAAATTGGGCAAGCTTTCCTTGCTAGAGGAGGGGCCTAGTTCATTACACAAAATACCTAATACATTTACCTGAATTATATTATGTTGAATGTAAAATCTTTAATGAATGTCATTTACATAAGAACATGTTGAAATTATCATACATCATTTGCCATGTGATGCAGTATCATCAATTAATACTGAATTATGAAGAAAGTTAAAATTATTTAACTTTATTTATGTATCTGTTAAAATTATTTTTATATATTTTTTACTATTGAGAAGTTTATTAAGTACAGTACTTGATTGCATATGTTGCTCAAGTGATCAATGATGAACATGTACTTTATGTGAATGTACATGTATACAACTTTAAGTAACTGCAATAGTAGTAACTGCAATTAAATATAAGTGGCATGTAAATTATTGCATTATTTCAATATGTACTGTATTTTGTATTTTAAAATACTGAAATGATGCCATGAACTACTTTATTTTGATTGGGATGAAAATCAATGAACTACTACTTTTGAACTTTTTTTTTTATGAACTACTACTTTTGATTGGGATGAAAATCTGAACTTCAAGTGTTGTTGGGTGTAGAGAAAAGGAGCAAAAGGCATCTGTTTATGTATTAGCTGCATCACTTGGCACTGCAGTGGTTTATTTTGTCTTTAATTCTGTGAAAATTATTTTCCTTGGCAGTATATAGTGGTCCATGAGTATTAACCATTGGCAAAATACTGTATGCCTATTATTTGCATATCCCTTGGAAACTTCAATGTTTACGTAGTTGTTAAAAGTGGAAACTAATATGTTAATATATAATTTATTTTGTCATGAATATTCTCCTGCAAGTACAGTACTGTATTATAATTAACTTGAAATATTTTGGGAAATACTCGCATATGGTCTCCAGGGTCCTTGCATTATGATCGCTCCACTCAATAATGGGCACCAGGATTGGTGCCCATGATTGTGTGGAGCGGGTAACCCAGTTAACACCTTGTTTTTGTTTGGTGTGTACAATATATTCAGTGATAGCAAATACACTCTTCTCCCAAACTTTAACGGGAAATGCATTGAGATCTCTTAATATAATTTTTGCTACCAATGTTATGTATTGAAACCTCTTAACATATTTGTGATCATTCATTGAAAGTACTTGGGTCTGTGGGACAATGGTACTAAATGAAACTGCAAAAAAACTCCAAAATTAAAATCAAGCATTGAACTTTGTTTTATCAATGCTCAATGGCTTTCCTGTAGCCCCACACTCCTAGTATCACACCCATCTTTAATAATCTTTATAACTGCACTTAGGGGAATATTAACCCTTAGACTGTGCAATACATATGTTAAATTATTTTATGTCAAATCATTTAAGTTTTTAAAACATGCACAAACACCTTCCTTTTTTTTTTTTTTGCATAATCAACTAGGCAAATGCTCCCACTTTATCTAAATGATCACAGTGTAACTTGAAAAACAAGAGAATCAAAACTAATTTTAAAAATTGAATATTGAAAACTTCAGATTTTCAATTCAGAATAAAAAATATGAACTATCACAATTGTTCATTTAATGTTATTATTCTCTCAGAATAGCATATGATCTTCATTTTCATCAAATTAGAATATAGGTTTCAGTACAGTTTACTGTAAAAAAAATCACCAATAGGGCATTTGAAATACAGTATGCAGAAAATTTAGACCCCAAAAAATTATAACTCCAAATGTATAAAGTTTATGAAAAAAACATTCTGATGGGATTGTAGAACAGAGAGCTGAGCACACAATATGTCAAAATAGTGAGAATCTGTCAAAAATTGGGATTTTAGACGCCACTCAAAGTTGAAACTCTAGTTTCAGAGATAATTGAAGTTGAAGTTATCAACAATGAATAAAGGTACTTTTAATTTGTTAATTTAATTATATGTTATAATAAACATTGTTCGGCATTCATACTCGAATATGTGAAAGTTGGAGGTCAATATGTGTTGAAATGAAGTCAAGAAAAAGTAACCCCCCAAAAAAACACAAAAATATTTATAATTATCCCTATATTAAGGAATATATTTGGGGTATATTTTATATAAGTGAAAAAGCCCTAATATGGTCCCTAATCATCAAAACAACATAGAGAGACAAAGAAAATAGAATTTGAAATCAGAGAAAAAATCGGCCCCCCAAAAATTAAGTCCCAAGTTTTGCGAGTTGTGCCCGATTTTTTTGTTGACCAATTTCATTCAATCTTCACATATGTAGGAAAACATATGCATTCTCCCATATGCATTCTCAGGATGTAAAGGTTACAGCAAAATCAGATAATAAACAAAAGGAGAAAAAACTAAAATCTTAAAAAAAAAAATATCCCCTAAAAAATATTTTTGTGACATTGATGAAAGTAACATACAGTATATTAACATGGGATTATGTATTTATATGATATATAACACAATAGAACACATTAACATAGTTATTCATTATTATTTCTGTTATTATGTATTACTCAGCAATGATATAAAGGCACCAACTGCATATCCAATTTGTGGACACTTCTTACTACTATTCTTCTTTGAGCGTCGGACAGGTGCTTGCATCTCTATTACTGTATAATCCTTCAGATCCAGTTATTAGGAGCTGTTCTCCTTATCAACAAAATGCTTATATTTGTAAAAAATTTGTCTAAAATCCATTTCTGAAAATATTTTGATGAAAGTTTCACGACACTGAAGTCAATAAGTTGGAGACATGTTGAGCATTTTTAAGTTATTTTTTACATAATTTGAATATTTTTCGGTACCAGGCCCCCAATATGCACGGTCTAAGGGTTAAGGGAGATAACATTTATACTGTCATTTTCCACACTTTGTGAATAGCTGGAATATAAATTTATGGCCAGCTTTAATCTTGATTACAAGAGTTTCACTCAGTCATACAGGACATTAGATCATTATTTATTCAAATATGGCCCAATCTAGTTTATAGAAATGTCAAAGAAAAAAATTTAGACATGGGGAAAGCTAATGAGACTGTTTTGAAAACAAAATTGTTTTTGGTAATGCATTTGAAAACGGCGAGTTTCTTTATATGGAGTATGGGTCATTCTGGGAGTGAATATGCAGACCATCCTCACAAGCTGCCACAACAGACAGAAAATGGGGTAGTAAAATGCCCAAACCTAACCTAACCAAGCTACCCATGCATAGAAAATATGAATGTATTATAATATAATACAAATGTATAATACGATGTATTATTTGAGAGGACAAGTTGTAATATGTTACAACTTGTAACATATTACAACACACAATATTGCATTAAATATTTATTTAATAGGCTTGATTTAGGCTTGAACAAAATTTCATAGAAAAAGAGTTTTGGGCATGAAGTTAATGGGCCTGGTTTGAAAAAGATCATATAACTGGTTATTTTGTAAAAATTGTATAATCTTGTATGTAACAAAATTCCTATTTTTTGTATCAGTTAAGTTTTCCCATAAAATCCTTGACAAAATCAATATGGAAAATTTCTACATTAGGTTAATGGTTTGTGGTAATCTGAAAATTGAGGACAAACCTTCAAAATTTATTTTAATAAATAATTGCCTAAATTGTATTAGTACTGTATACAGTTTGTATAGTTAGGTTCAATATTAACCCCTGCACTGCACCCGTTTCATGTGACAGCTTCATGGTGCAGTTGTTAATGAATTACTGTTATTAACATTACTGAAAACTTAAAAGTGAGAACAATATCAAAATATTGCCAAATTAACAATTTTAATTTCTAATTGCAAAAAGAGTGAAAAAACATTAAAATATTGCTAAATTCAAACTTTTTTTGCTCCACCCATCAACCACCTTAAGGTGCTATGTGCAGTTAGTGGTTAAATATTTTGCAAGTTTGCAAGGCAATGATGACTTCTCACCAAGTATAAATAAATAACAATAAATAACATGTTATTTAATATTAATATACATATATATATATATAACATACTGTACTGTGTTTATTTTTGGTAACCAAATCTTCCATTGATGGCTTATGCCAATTGGTGTTATTGCCCTTTTATTGTGAAATCAGTAAAATAAAGACAAAAAATAGGTGATATAATTATGATGATAAAAGTGATTTACAGTAATAATTTATTTTAAGAGTTTGGTAATATAGTACAGTATGTCTAAACAAACCAAACAAAAATTAGCTGCTGCACTTGTTAATGCATTTTCATGACGGTACCCATATAGAAAATATTGTGTATATCAACTAATTTAGTATCTATATTAAGTCTTGCCCAGTTTCTAGGCTGTAATATCAGACCAGACAAGAATTTTAATCTAAATCTTTTTAACACAAAGAGGCAGGTATGTTGGCTGGAGCCTCAGATGACCTGGGCTTCCACCATGTGGTGGTCAGGCACATCACAATTTGGACGTTTTCCCCCGTGCAATGATCATTTGCCTTGTTGGCCAATTGTTGTCATGCATTTGCTTATTTTGGTGTGCTTATTCTCTCTGGTGGATTTTTTCTCAGTTTTAGATTGAACTCCAATTTTAAGCTTCCCTTGCCTTGTAGAAGAGCCAAATTCTTGGTTCCTGGTAGACAAGGATTAGTCTCAATGCTTCATTTCTTGGTGATCTGTATGTAGTACCCTGAGATCTGCATTTCAGATTTTTACTTTAAGATATTATGCACCCCATTCCCATCCTGTGAGGTGGTAATGGAAAAGGGTTACAGAGGCACACAATGGGCTAAAGGAACTAAACCCAAAAATTTGTTTAGCTAACCAAATTACAGCACCGACAAGCTATTTAAGAGTCTGTTAACAGGTACATCAACAGTCTATTATCAATTACTGTAGTTATTATGAATTACCTCCTACCCATTCCTATCCTGTGAGTGAATGGCAGAAATGCTTAGGTGTTGTTGGGTTCAGGTACTCAACCCCTATGACCAATGAACTAAGCAATTTCCATTTTCCATTTAACTACATGCAGTTATAAATGGTTAATGAAGCTCTATAGCTGAGCTGAAGTGCCTTGTTTAACCTAAATTGATCAACATATTTCAAAAGACTAGTGATGCACTACTGTATGTGGAAAGTTACTTCTTATCTGTAACACACACTTCACTTGAAAAGCTCTTTTTGTGATTTGTTTAGAAATGAGAGAAAGATGCAGTATTCCCTAATAACTCAGCTACTGTGACTTATGAAGAAGCTAACACTATCATATGAGTTTCATTTGATCTCTTAAAAATCAATCGTGCTATCATAGTGGAAACACAGCATTAGTAAGTGAATCTGAATATGAAAAGTCAGTGCTGGTAATTACACAAACATGTAGTTAATTAAATGTAAATGAGGTCAATAACATATTTAGGCACATTCTATTAATCCAGTTGTTTCTGGCCATGTTAGGCAGTATGTTTATCAAACCACCATTTTCTGTGCGTTGCTTTACCAGGTTCTCGGATATTATGTCATTTACTTTGTCTCACTTGTATTACTCTTAAGTAATGTCCTAATTACTCTTGGCTTTTTCAAGGTAAATTATTTGCATATACCTGTATATTGCCATCCTGTTGCTTGATTTTTTTAATTGAACAGCAATTAATCTACTAATGAGCATTTTTCCTGGGCTGGGATTAGTGAGCAACATCCGTCAAATTTTGGTATTGTTAATACGTTATGTTTTACAGTACAGTATTTGAAAATTTAAATCTGCAAACAGTTTTCATTAATTTTTTTAACCCTAGAAAAGTCTGAATTGGGAAGTGTTTACATATTTTTGGATTTTCCAGGCCTCCAGTGACATAATTGACTTATTCAAAGAGTAATTTACATTACTTACCTAAAATATGTCATCAATTGATACAGTACAATGTAATTGTAAAGTCAAAAGTTTAACCATTTCTTATTATAGAACGGTGATGCATTTGTTTTCAGTGTGAATGAACTGTTAGTGTATTAAGAATTTGTAATGGGCTTCATGTCCACTCTTTACTGCAATTATTAATTTGTACACTATTACAAATGTAGGTTAAGATATGTTGGCCCTTGCCTTCAATGGAAGAACTTGTGTTATGAGCATTCAATAAACAGTTGGGTTTTTTAAATAATTAATTAATAAATTTTTACCATTGTTCATGCATCAATAAGAATGCAACTCTACAGCAGTTAACTAATTCCTGGGTACCTATTTCCTGATAGGTGAATAGAGGCATTAGGTGAAAGGATACATGGTAACCTGTCTCACCTGGGATTCAAACCCAGAATTCCTGATTGTGAGTCAAGAACAAAGCCAACTGTACTACCTTTACGGTATGTTTTAGTGGCATTTGCTTGGTTGCCAGATGTTGTCAAAATCAATTACAGTACATCTGTCATTGTTTTAACTTCTGTCACTTATAGTTCCCCTCAATTTTTTTTACTTTATCTTCAGTATATTGGCCACTTACGTATACTTTATTAAGCTTCATTTGCTCTTACATCTTAGTGCAAACAAAGGAAAAAAAATTATGTAGAATTCAAATCTTAGTGTTTGTTATTCAACATTTGTAATCATGTAGGGGGGTAATATAGGGATAGGTAAAAACGTTATCGATCTGAATATAGACGACAAAACACTGTCCGCCAATGCAGTCTACTGAAACTGTCAGCACTTGGTGCTTTGTTCACCCAATGTTGAGGATAATTTACTGTAAGCCTATATTAATTGTGTGTGTATTCAGAGTGTTTTACCAAGAATATTTTTGGTATTGTCAGTTAATTAGCAATGTTTGTTCTATTTTTAGTACCTTAAAATGTGAATTATTACTATTCTGTATATATGGACTTATAATCTATATTATTGTATTTTTAAAAAAAGATATATATGTTTTATTTATATAGTATTTTAAAAGTCCATACAGCATCAAAGTTATATCTGTTCATTAGTTCTGTTTTTTCTTTTATAAATTTATTGACAAGTCCTAAGAGTCCTAATAGTAAATGTAGTAATTTGTTTCAAGAAATAAAATGACTTCTGCTTATTGACTGTATGTACCTGGATCTTTCCAACAGATGTACTACTTTGGTGAAGTTGGACATTTATTCTCTTCGCGATGCTTAAGGGACATGTATTTACACTTCATATTATGATGGCTTAAAGTATGGACTCAGATTTATAGATATAATATATAAAAGACCACAGATTTACTTGCATTTATTTGTTCCCCCAAATTCTAATAGTCCATCATGCAATCATTTATGTCTACTGTATACAGTAGTTTTTACACATCACTCATCAACCTGCTTCTTTGGGAGTGTAACTTGCCAGTAGAAAAGGCAGCGCAGCATGGAAAAATTCCTGTTATCGGTACTACATACTGTATTAATAAAATGACGCCTGTCCATTTACCTTACCTTCAACGTTCAACAGTTTCATAGAGAACCCGCCAAAACTATGCTCAGACATTTCATCCATAGTAATATCTCCACCACTTAAGATTGCTCATAATGAGTTATGTACAAATATCCAATGTTCGCTTTTAAACTGCTTTCACCTAGCTTTTGTGTCCTTCATTTCACATGTTCTGTTCACTTGTATGTTCCTCATTCAATATGTCTATATTGGAGGCCTCCAGGACAATTGAGAGACCTCCAGGGTGTATTCACGTGTCATCACCCCCCTTTCCCTACATCCTGGCCCGATCTAGCTGCCTGTGCCCCAAATTTCCAATAACTGCATCCATTCATGACTAAAAACTGAATTTATGTATATACAAGAAGGTACATTGGGCTTGCGAGAGTACATAACATTGGTGTTATGTACATTCTTGCAAAGCCGCTAACACCCATAGCGTTTCCGGCAGGTCCCTAATCAAACATATGAGGTAAGTCTATTAAGAGGTACATTGCAGCAAAATTTGAGTTGAACATAATAACTACAGTATAAAATTATGGAAATGATTACACTGGTGATGTTGCATGTTTTAAGTACTAATATGGGGGGGGAGGGTAGGGTTACACAAGATACAGTGAGAGTTTGAAGCACATGGTGGGAAACTATGAGGATAATTGACGGGGTGAAATGTAATGTTCCTCCGACTAGTAAGGTTTACAATAGCACACAAATAGACAAACGCACTGCATGTAGCGTTTAGCTGCAGAAAGTTCTCGCTAATTACAGTCCTAAATGGTGGGAGTTCGGGAAAGAGATGAACGCCCACGTCGGTTATCTAAATACCAAGGGTGGAGCGCCGCGCGCCCCCTCCTTAAGGGATGGTTAATCTTGTAGATCTCACCTTTACCGAAGCAGTAGTTAAGAGAAGAGTCTAATGATAATAATCAAGAAGACCATGGGACTCATTTGGCTCTATTCTCCCTGTTCTTGCTTCCTGACCTTTCGCTTTCCTGGCCATTTGGACTTGTTGGTAGAGCGATGCCCCGGACTTATAAACTCATTTCTCAATCTTTGGCGGCTTTGTTTACAATTATTAATCAGTTTATGAGCTCCGAAGCACAGGAGGCTGTTTATAACAATAACAACATTTGACTGAGAAATTATTAAATTGTTTAATAAATGTAAACAAAGCCGCCAAAAGATTGTAAAAAGATGTACATGTTCGCTCGTAGATGTGTAAATGGGGTAAATGATTGTTGAATTCAGCTGGGTCGACCCCGACCTCATAGCCCGTCAATGTGCCCCATATAGTAATACTGGCTTAACGCTTTCTTTTCTCAATTTCATTTTCTTATGTAGTTCCTTAGTCATTTTTGTATTCTTAACATTCTTTCCTTTTTTTTCTTAATGTCTCTTTTTTTAATTTTGTATACCGAATTATTAATTTTTTCTTCCGTTAATGACTAATTCTCACCAGAACAAAACCCAAATTTATCTGTTTTTGTATTAGTTTGACTTCATTCTTTGACATAAAAAACCAAGCCAGGTTATATTACAAAAAAAATCTAACAGTGAAATATGACTAAACCAGAATGGAATTGATTTTAATTTTCCAGAGAGCCACCATCTAGTGGCCTCGACGGGGACAGCAAGCCGGCGATTTGTCAAGATAACCCCCCCCCCCCACATTTTACTTATTTTTTTTTTTTTTTTTTTTTACAAATGGTTTTTGAACTGCAGTACTGTACTCTTGGCATTTACAGCTTCAGTAGGAAGGCGGTTCCCGGTAGTACAGTCTGGTTCGTTCTCGACGCACAATTTATAATTCCGGGATTGAATCCCGGGCAGGACAGAAATGGTTGGGCACATTTCCTTTCACCTAATACATCTGTTCACCTAGCTGTAAGTATAGTTAGGTAGGTACTCAGGAGTTAGTCAGCTTGTTGTGGGGTTGCATCCTGGGCGGGGTCAGTAACTCGGCCTTGGGGGACCGCGATAAAAGCCGAACGTGTATGAATACACTCTGGCTTCCTGTCCCCCAACACAATGAATTATTATTATATAATTTTATATAAGTTTCCAGGCATATGGGACACCGCTGCTAAGGATGCTATTCGCACTTATCCTATTTCCCCAAAAAGGACCCTTGTTTGGATTTCTACACCGTAGAAATTTTATTCTATAATTAATTATAACAATTTCGCGACGGTCAACGGTCGCGAATTTATTCTATAATTCGCGACCGTTGACAAGGTCGGTGGTCTGGCATTTCTGGTAACAAACTACGCACTCTTAAAAATTAAATTTCCAAGTGGCCCAAGTCCCACCATCGTAATAGACAATAGGAATTGGCTCTGGTTAGATTGCACAATGGTCACACACACTTACCTCTTGGACATTTGCAGGAGAACACCGCCTCGCTCCTTGCTGTCCAAACTGCACTGTCCAGCTTACAGTCGTACACCGTCTTATAGAATGCACTTCCCTGTACCACGAGAGATTAATATTATATTAATACTTAATATTAGTACCTAAGTCATACATCTTCACCAGTGTAATCACCTCTGTCAATTTACATTGTAGTTACATGTTGATATCCAATTTTGTTACTATGTACCTCTTCATCTTTCCCAATATGTTAGATTAAGGACCTGCCCGAAACGCTATGAGTGTTAGTGACTTTGTAAGAATATAAACGTACCAATATTATGTAATCTCACAAACCCATTGTACACTCTTGTAAATAATTAATAAAATAAAATAAAAATAAAAAATAAAATATACCGGGAACTACAACAAATTTTAGTAAATCTTAGACCGTGTGAAATTCACACCAATTATTCCATCTATCATCACACTATTACACAGGAAGAGCCTCGCATAGATATAGGTCATCTAATAAGGAAGCAAACTTGAAGATGTTACCACAGCTAGGCTCAGACTCGCCCTCAAGCAGCTCTAGGAGTTTACACCTCCTGCTGAAGGTGGTCTTACCAAATGTAAACTTTGTCTGCAGAACTAGTCATATACCCTACGTCATTATGAAACTGAATATGAAAAACTCTGAATTCAGAGTTTAATTACAAATCTAATTAACTAATTACAAATGTTCCCCCAAAAATGTATAAGTGTTTAATTCAAAATGATATGCTACCAGAAATCTTCACTGAATATCCAATTTGCTTACTGTAGGTAATACATGGTCTTTCCATCGCCGGTGCCCATTGCATGGGTGAGGGGCGCATATGTAATTAAGTAATTATTTAACTGGCTACACAATTATATAACTGTCAACGATGCACATCATAACTACTTGATCAACAACACCACTGTGCAGCAAATTGACGAAGAAAAGGACCTAGGAGTTAGGATCCACCACTGAAAGTTGCTTAGTATGCATAGGAGCTACGAAAAAATAGTTAATCAAATATGTTATCATCTTCAAAATCTTATTTTCAAAAGATATGCCCTCATCTTCAAAATATGTTCTCATCTTCAAAAAGACATACCTGCTTTGGAAAAAGTTTAACTGAGAGCGATACAAATCATCCCAGGACTTAAGTCTGCTCTAATAACATTGTGTCAGTTGAACTGTTAGAACACATACGTAATGGAACCAGCGAGTCTAAATGGATTCAAAGAACAGCCACTCATATTAAAATGATGGGACTGCACAATATATATACAGATGAAAGAGTACAGCACTTCCTTCCACCCTGGCAGATAGTACCTTTTGGCATCCTGACCCCTGCATACCCCACCAAGAAACTAATCACAAACAACCTTCATGCTCAGCTTCCTGCTAAATTAAGCACCATAGAGCACATTCACAATATACAAACTGAAAACAACATAACACAGACCAAATACACTGACCGATCATTCAATACAGATATAGGGAGGGCAGGAAGTGCTGTTATTGCTCATCAGCCCGATGGCAGCACAATTCAAAGGAATATAAGAATTAGTAACTGGATATCTACAATGCAAACCGAGTTGGTAGCAATACTGTTAGCACTCGAAATTATTGACAACATTGAAGTAGACAGCTTAATTATTTCCGACTCCCTTTCCTCACTACTAGCAATAAACAGTTTGCAATCAAGTAATAACGTGCTTGTCTCAGAAGTCAGACATAGATATATATAAGGATACTTAGCAAGAGGGTAATTATATAAATGTTGTGGATTCCTTCTCACATTGACCTGCAGGAACATGACAAAGTTGACGCCCTTGCTAAGGTTGCAGTAAATAAAGGCAGTATTGAACGGAATCTTTAGTTATCAAATAGGTCCCTTAAAAGTGTCATTAAACGAGAACTCCTGGATGAATTTGAAGAAAGTAGAACAGTGCAACCTGGAACTAGCAGGTCCATTGTTCATCACAATGAAATGTGTGCAGTAAAACATGTGTATGGGGCAAGTAACAAAGTCAGTAGACTAACAGACGTTGTCACAGCTCGAATAAAACTTGGCTACAAGTATCTCTGGCAGTTCGGCTTGTATAGGGATCTAGATGAAGTAAAGTGTGTGGACAAAGACAGGGACACACACTCAAACACTATATCTTGTATTGTAGTAAAATTGAGCCATTTAGAGATAAATCTAAGCTCACGCTGTGTGATATGGCATCCTATCTTATTACCAGGATAAAATACCTGAAATCCTTGCACTGTATCCATATTTAGCTTCCAGTAGATAAACGACATACGAGATTAAGAAACAAGTAGTGTATTGTGAACATTAATAATAAACAGCAGCTCCCCTATGATTCTGTAATATCTCAATTGTTCAAACAATTCTGTGTTAGCGAT